CGAAGCCAGGCATTAACAGGGTAAAATAAGAACAAGGATCTGTCTGCTGTGGCATCTCAATGGGCTAGCGCTATAACACCGACAGTAGACAATGCTATAACACTCTGTCTTTCTCTCTCTCCCCTCACACCCACACTCGCACACACGAACGCACGCACTACTAAAACTGGAAGGTTTGCAACACTTACACTTCAGCGGTTCAGTGAACCTACAACTTGACTCATTTATTGGTGTCATCCTAGATCTGCAAATGTGATACATTGTTTTGGAAGTCAAAATTTCGACTCGGTAGCTTGTGTGATTATACATGACGGGGACTGATGAACAGTTATTACAAATCCTGAGATTTGAGAAGTCGTATACATCGTGTGTGGTCACTCAAGACAGACGTCATGTCAATCAAGGAAATAAAAGTGCAGTTCATCTTTTGAAATTCCTAATAGTTTCTAGACACTGCAGCGCAGTACAGATCTACCACGTGAATTCCTCATTCTTCACGTTTGTTTCTGTCACTGTGCCTTGATAAAGAAGAACGTATTTGTGAGCACTACTGAACTGACAACAGCTCTCAAAGGACAGGACGCAGTTTATTACTGTCGAGCAATACGTTTCAGCCAAAGAATATATACTCATACGTCCCAAACTAAAAAAAGGGGAAAAAAATCAGACTGTACGTATCAGAAATAGAAGTATATCTTACAGAAATCAATGAAGCTAAAACATAATAAAACAAGGTATATCCATTGTCGCATTTAAGGAAAATAACATACCACAGACGTGTAGGGTTTCTGTTTAAAGGGCATTGGTTAAAGTTGATGTTATCATATATGTTGTGAGATTTCTGAAATATATATACAACTATGTTATATTGTGTGACATATGATACATACATGTTGTTATATTGACTAAATAGATATATTGACTTCTATATATATCACTCTGTTTTAATTGGTTTGTTAATTTCGAGAACACTGGGCGTGAAGTCACTCATGAAGAACATCATCTCCCTTTCCCCCCTTTCCCCGGACTGTCGACAAGTAATTTGGACGGATTATTTGTTGTTGTCGACAGTCCGGGTATAAACCCTCCGTATACTAACAGGGATGTCAGCTGCACACTACACGGCAGTAAATGTCGCAGTCACAAGATGTAGTGTATGTTTCAGGATAACAAATATCGGTCTTGTCATATTAAACAAATATACACCTGGGCCCGGTTGTTCAAAACTCGGTTATCTTAACACTCGGTTAACTCTTAACCGACTGTTAAATCCTTAACCCGCCGTTAGCTAACCGAACGTTAAAAGAGCGTTGCACAGTCCATGTTTAACACTGCCGTTTACTAACGTCATGGTTATCTTTAACGTCGTGGTTAAAGTCGTGGTTAAAGTTCTATCAATCCCATAATGCTATAGTTTGTTTACTTCCGCGAATGTCAAAAATGGAGGCACCAAACGAGATATCACCGCCTGAAAACCTAAAGCCAAGAAAGAAAAGAAGTAGGAACTTTTCGGTGGAGGAAGAAAACACTATTCAAAGCTGTGTGGAGGGCAATTCGAAAATATTAAATGAAAAGCACAGTAACGAGGTAACTAGAAAAAAGAAAAATCAAATTTGGATGCAAATTACCAAAGAAGTCAATACGAGGCGTTGCTTCACGAACCGTTGACGAGGTGAAAGAAAATGGACAATATGGCCCGTAAGGCAAAGAAAGTATTTACAGACTTTCGTATGCAGGCAAGGAAGACGGGAGGTGGCCCGCCCCCACCAGAGCCCAGCCAGGCGACTACTCGAATAATCGAGATCATGCGGGACACAGCCGGCTTCAGCGGAGTGTTCGGTGGAGTCGAAACGGGGTTTAATGAAAGTAAGTTTCAATGGAAGTTTAACATAGTTGACGCACTATTTTCATGACCGACAATTGTTTTATCATATTTTTTAATGAATAGATCTACCTCAGAATCCGATCGCTTTCTCAAGCCTTATATCACTTGTGTCGTCTGTCAGTGCACGCTGTGTTTACACTCTATTTTTAGTAAATGGCGACCTTGAACTTGGTGTATTTGGGGTGAGAGATGTTGTCAATGTTCAATCGTGATAAGCTGCGTTTGAAAGCGAAAGGTTACAGTCTGCACTGTGGGGAATATAATATATATTTGTTCAACAAATTCAATCTTTGAGACACTGTGAGTAGCTTCTAATATCCTATCTAGAACGATTATTTTCAACCTCACTGGTACAACGAGCCCATAATTGTAAAAATTGTTTTAGTCCTTCGACAACACAAGATCATAGATGTAATTGGTGCATGCAATTTTCTCAATATTCTACAAGTGGTCGATCCAAAGTTTTTTGTCGATATTGCTAGAGTATCCATATAATTACCAGGCGTAACCAAAAATCAGTCATTCGTGTCAGTGGTAGGTGCGTGGTGAGTACCCAAAATACGAAAAAACAAGATTGCTTAAATTTTACGTATTGAAATTAGACTTATGTAAGGTAGAATTACATGTTAAAAAAATACTTATCATTAACGTGTTTCTGTTTAAATTAAACTGTAATTTAATCCCTATAGGTCATGCTTGTATACATTATTTACATTATCTCGACCAAATTTAAAAGTGTATTTTAATTAAAGTTGATAAAATATATAGATCCTGATCATTCAACATTTCAGTTTGCATTACATTTAACAATGAAAAACAAATAAATGACAAAGTAATCATATATATGTTAAATTTAATTTGAATCACTAAATTTAGATTTGCCTTAATTCAAAGATTGATGTTAAGTTCTGACATTTAACAAAAATTGAAACATTTTCAGGCAATGAGGAAAGCACATGCAATCTGTTGGAGGCTGATATTCCTCCAGAATCAGGAATACTGACACCACCTCCCATTATCAACCCTGAGGAAGCTGCACAGCCATCAACATCAGCATCGACATTAGCACCGACATTAGCACCGACGTCAGCATTGACATCAGCATCCTCGTCAGCACCGACATCATCATCGACATCAGCATCGACATCAACACCAGCACCGACGTCAGAATCGACATCAACATCAAGCCCGCGAACAAGTGGTAAATCCTCAAAATCAAGATCTAAAATGTTCAGCAGGAAAGAGCATGGTGTTGTTGATAAAGTATACCAGCTCCAGCAACAAGTGCTGACAGGGGAACTTGAACTTCAAGCAATGAAAAAAAGAAAACTTGCTTTGCAGATTACACTCTTGGAAAAAAGTCTTGACAGTACTAGTGAATATATGGACAGCCCATCAAAGCTTCTCATGTCCATGTTGAAATAGTTAGTTCCATACTGAAGTAACATAGGTATAAACACATAGGTGATAGCTATCAGTGTATTTTAAAATACTTTAGTCAAGTTATAGGAAAGGATTACAATCAACACAACATTTCTTCTCACTTTAATCACAATCACAATAAACTAGCCTGTTAACAGAACATTACATGATATTATCCACTAATTACTTTGCTTTTAAAAGTTTTTGTTAGCAACATTTGAAATGTCAATAGGTTTAAGTCACTTTATTGTGCAAAAAATGTCCTAGCAATATGATCTCTGATCCCCTTGCCATCATGTCTTCCTCCATATGCCTCAACTGGTGGCTGCTCATCTATGTTGGCTCTGTCATCATCAGGCTCACACATGTCAATAGCAATGTTGTGCAGGACAGCACAAGCAACAACAATGCAACACACTCGGCTTGGTTCCATCCTCACCTATTTCGAAGGAATAATACATATTTTACTTTTTGTATGTCATTTTTCAGTAACACTTAGGTAAATTCATGAACATTTGAGCTTCATAATGAATTATTAAATATTTAATTTCATAATGTATTTCAATTATGAGATTTTACACATACATATCCAAATAGATATTTGATACATATATACTGTACATGTAATTAATGGACGATATTAATTTCATATTGGATATTTCAGTACATGTATGTAATTAATGGACAATATTAATTTCATATTGATATTTCAGGGATGTTGAACAAAATATTTCAATATTTTTATTCCCAAATATTTTCATTCATTTCAGTGGAGCATATACAAAAGTATATAAGTTTGGTTTGATGGAGTAACAGTGTTGGCACAGCAAGCAACATGGACTAGCATGACATATACAGCAGGTAGTGTGTAGTACACTTACAAGAGAAAGTATATTCACAACATTTTTCACAAGGTTGGTTTAGTATGTTACATTTCATAACTACTACAAGCTCGTTCCTTGTCATGATTGAATTTATCATACAGATTCCAGGAAAGTTATGTTCCTAACATACTAGTCATCCTTTAAAGATGTAAAATTTGTAAATGGATTTTGTGCAATTTGCCAAAACCCAAAGAACTACATGTTTTTCTATATTTTCTTCGATGATTGATCGGTTGTAATGAACCAATCATCAATTGTGAGATTTTAACCAGTTCCCAACACTATAATGTAATACAATGGAATATCAGTGATGGCATAGCTAACATTATAGTCTAGCATAACCCATACAGTATTAAAGTAGTGCATTACACACTTATAAGAGAAGGTATAATCAGGCTAAGGATATTCCTTTGGCCATTACCTCTGGGACTTTGAGGTGTTGTTATTTTTCCAGTGTTCAATGTGATATAATGAAATAACAACTAAATATTTCAATAAATTATTATGATGTCTTACATTGCAATATATATTTTTCCCAACAAAAAGAAGGAATGTGTGATGTTGAGCTTAAAGCTATTATATTTAGAAGGAGGTGTTGACATAAGGTTTACTGCAAATCCTTTTTACTGTTCAATGAAAAGGAAATATGTTGAATTTCATATTAGTGAATTTTTTATATGAAATAATAAAGATATGTTTTCACTATCGGACTGTGATTATTTTTTTCATTGAATTATTTAGTGTTGGAATTTATTGGGTAATACACGAGAAGAAAATTATGGAGGGTGAACTTGAAGAATGGTTGAGATCTACACTTACTTCCCCTCTGTTAAGAGTTTAATTTAGATCTTGGGTATTTATCATTCTTTATCTTTATATTGTTATTATTTGATAATCTGTTAAATTTGCATTATTTTGTGTTGTATTGAATAAATTATATGTTACAAGTACACTTGTGTTGTTTTGTCCTTTAGATATTGATTGTTCCTAGGCATATCTATTCCTGTTGCAATAATAATGAGATACATACATACAATATTATCTATACACACATATGTACATGTATGTATGTGTGTGTGCACGTATATGTTATATATGTGTTTATGTGTATATATATATATATAATATTATGTAATAATAATATTTTCCTTCGTAATTTAATGTGTGAGAAAATTCTGAGGATTGAAACATATCTTTACTCAGTATCAATATTACCTCAGAGTTTAGGACATGGAAACGTCGTTTCCACCTGCCGAATGTCCTCTCAATTGTCACACGTGTCGCACATAGGCTGTCATTGTATCTCTGTTCTGGTTGTCCATGGGGGTTAAAGTAGGGCGTGAGGAGGAAAGGCCTACACGGGTATCCGTTGTCTCCTAAAATGAAACCGTCAGCAATCCTTCTGTGGTGTTGCTCAAGATGATGACAGAGTGCAGATGTCCGGAATATGTGGCTGTCGTGAGCGGCACCTGGCCACTTGGCACACACGTTTGTTAACCTTCCTGCAAAGCAGGTGTATATACAAGCTTTAAAAAGTCACATTTTTTTAGTGCTTCATTTCACTAAAATACATCAAATTAAGTGTACTTGTCAATTTTTACGATCATTAAATTGATTACAGTTATTCCTCACAATTTATGATTCATATATGTTGATATGAAGTGAACTTTAGACAAAAAATACATGAATTGACTGAACACATTCTGGAATGTCACGCATTGCGTATTTTCTTTCAGAAATGGATTTTATATAAACCAAGGGAAGTCACTCTCAGGTATACATACAGCTTGAACGTTGATACTGTGGTAACCTTTTCTGTTCACATAAGCCGGTTCATCTCTTGTTGGAGCTTGGATTCTTACGTGTGTACCATCTATGCAGCCTATTACGTTAGGAAACCCACCGAGTTGGTAGAATCCACTCTGTATAGTACGCAGGTGCTCGGCGTCGGTTGGCCAAGTAATGTAAGCGTCCTTGCGTGCAACGAGGGCATCAGTGACATTTCTAACCACTCGTGAAACACAACTCTTGTCCACACCCAAGGTATCCCCAACCACTTGGAGAAAACTCCCACTCGCATAAAATCGCAAGGCAATTAAAACTTGTTGCTCTACTGTAAGTGCGTGTCCGCGATTTGTTGGTCTTTTAAGATCGTCTCTTAAAGTATCCACCAAATACTCGATAGACCTCCTTCCAAACCTGTAACGCCGACGCAGTTCACTGTCCGAATAGCCTAGAATGTTTAAATCGTAAGCTCTGTAAACTTTCTTCTCTTGTCCTTGGTTCTTTAACGGCACCATGAACGCAGCATTCGGTTGAATGATCAACGCCATCTTGCCGATGTTAAACAACCCGGTTAACTATTTAGCGGCGGTCCGTAGGTGTGTTAACTTTAACACCAAGATAACGGCGGGTTAAAGATAACCGGGTTTTGAGAAACGCTTTAACCACTTGGTTAACTTTAACGGCCGGTTAAGAGTATTTAACCAGTGGTTAAAAGATAACCGAGTTTTGAACAACCGGGCCCAGTGCATTAATTAAGCACCACCCTATTTTGAAAATAAGATGTGATGCTACAGAAAAGTTAGGTTATAGCCATCAATTTAATCAACCTATAGTTAAAGAAGCTTTATTCATTGACAGTTTTACAAATACTATAACCTTTTCTTTTTTATGAAAGAATATGTTGATGAAAATGTGACGGGGGTGAATTTTTACCCAAAATAACTATACTGAGTCAAAAAAGAAACTTCACAAAATGTAATTTAAAAAAATAATGAATACTTTTTTTAATAGGGATCCCTATCTTTCGACTCTAGAAAAACGTTAGCAAAACCCACTTAAACCCATCCATTCGTCGTGCACATGACGTTAGTGCCAAATCAGGTTTTGCACGTGCAGTCGATCACGTGATCTTCGCATCGAAGTTTTCTTTATATGCACGTGTTTGCATTGGCCTCAAGAATTGAAAAAACACTTTTAAACCACAGTTATAACGGTACTTGAAATGCCACGATTGTCAAATGTTCAACGTGAACGTGCAGTTGGCATGTTGCAAGCGGGAAGATCAGTTATTGACGTCGCAAGAGCAATGGGATGCAGCCGTCGTACTGTGTATGACTTGCGAGGTCGTCTACAACAAACTGGAACCACTTCTGATCGCCCAAGGTCGGGTCGTCCACGTGTGACGTCACGAGCAGAAGACCATCAAATCGTCCTTCGTCACCTACGTGACAGATTTCTGCCGGCTACACGAACCAGGGCTGAGATGTTTAGAGGTCGACTGCCCTCACAGACCATTCGAATCGGTTGCGGGCTGCCAATCTCCATTCTCGACGTCCATATCGTGGGCCAATATTGACGCCGTTTCATCAACGTCAACGTCTGCTGTGGGCCCAACGTCACCTCCGATGGACCCAGAGAGACTGGAATCGAGTCGTCTTTAGCGATGAATCCAGGTTTACCCTCAGATTCGCGGACGGCAGGCATAGAGTCTGGAGACGACGTCGTGAACGATATGCCCAATGTTGTGTACAGGAAGTCGATAGATTCGGGGGCGGAAGTTGCATGGTGTGGGGTGCTTTCTGTGGGAACAACCGTTCCCGACTTCTGGTCATCCGTGGAAACCTCACAGCTGCTGCTTACCCCGACCAGGTGCTCACCCCTGAACTCGTTCCTTTCATGGCGGCTCATGGCCCTGGTCTACAGTTCCAGCATGATAATGCTCGGCCGCATACCACGATGTTGACACAAAATTTCCTTCAAAACGCTGGAATCAACGTCATGGACTGGCTATCGAGGTCCCCTGACCTTAATCCAATAGAGCACGTTTGGGATGCACTTAGGATAAGGCTTCTTGGTCTTAGGAACCAACCTCAGAATTTGCAGGAACTTGGCGCTGCCTTGCAAGAGCAATGGCGCAGAATCCCCAACCACGTGTTCACAAGCATCAGGCAGTCGATGAGGAGACTGTGTTTGGCAGCGGTGAATGCGCGGGGCGGCCATACACGATATTGAACTGAGAAATTTCGCATTTTTATTCTTGTGACTTGACATTCTGTATACCCATGTTTTGGAACGGCGGTGTAGCCTACTGGAACTGATTATGACACTGTCAGTGTATCGAGTACATCACACAGATCTCAGCAATGAAATAATAACAATTTAACCATCTTACCATCTCTTGTTCTTTTATAGTGCCCTGAAGAAAGAATGTGAAGTTTCTTTTTTGACTCAGTATATTCCTCTCCTGCTCAAACTACACAATTAAATTAAGTTTTGACTAAAAATATTTTTTTTGTTATATACCAAGATGACATTTACACATTAAGTAACCTTTAAATATGCATAACCAGGAAGAACCGAATCTCAAAGATTCATACCTTTTTCCAACAGTTCAGATTGACAAAAACTTAAAAAGGCCACATTTATAAGATTTTTGAGTAATTGTTTTATGATTTTGAGTTTATTGTAATGAGTAAACACTTCTCCTTGTCGGATACTAAAATTACAGCTATAATCTGTTTGTTTTGTTTGTAAAGCAACTTTTACTGCATTTTAAAATTTTCCTTTCTTTTAGTTTAAATGCAACTTTTCCTAAATCTTAGTTTACAAACGTCCATCCATTCACAATAAATAACGAATTTATAGGCCACACAACAATCAATTATTACCTTAACTTTTCAAAATCCGGTAACTTATTTTAGGACAGAAAAACACCTCTTTTAAATATAGGCAATTATCCTAATTAAAATACATGGTAATTTCAATGATGTTTTCGTTTATGAAATGTTAAATGCTTGCTGTATCAAATTATAAAGGTTATTTTTGGGAAAGAGTTTAGAATTTCATTTCAGACCGAATTAATTGGTAAAAATATAGGGTGGTGCTTAATTTATGCACAGATGTATATAATGCTTCCACCGCCTCAGATTATACCTATTTCACTTGGCTAATATTTTAGCATTTCTTTATGTGGAAAAGGGGACAGAGATATTCCAAGTTTAATACCTGTCACAATTAACATCTAATGTTTAATGGCCCTAAAGGTGCAACAGCTACTCCATGAAGATGTGCAGATTATTCCACCCTATCGGTCATAAGTACAGTGGAAGCCCTCTTAACCGGCATGCGTTGGGACCGAACTTGTCCCTTTTCAACCTGAGAATGATCTACACTGGCACTTTCTCCGATCACTCTAAACTGTTTGATGTCGTATCGTGCTTTCCAGCGTGCCAACCAACCATCGGATGCCTTAAACTCATTGACCTTTAATTCTGAAGCAAACTGAATAGCTTTCTCTTTGAAAAATGGGGCCAGAAATGGGCATGTTTTTACTGCGGGCAGTCAAAAACTAATAATGCGTCAGTGTGTTAATTTTGTCAAATTTACTGACACTTGTCACTCACCAATTTACCTCACCTACTTATCCATACTCCTTTTGTCAGGCAACATCCATGAGCTTAATGCCGTTGGTAACCCAATGAGTTGTTAATACACGTTCAGCCAACCAGGCAGTTAACAGGAGAGCCGAGATACCGGATGCCGAATTAGAGAGCGTTAATTACTGTACAAACATTAAATCATTTCAACTACATGTAAATAAAATATCTGTCTGTCTGTAAACAAGCACTTGACGGTCGTCCCCGAAATATCTTAGTTTTGCGTGCGACGTTAGATAAAACAAATAACAACAACTTTACGAGTTGATTGGTATCTATTTGTGCGCCTCCACGCATAATGTTCTTCGATCCAGACAAAATTGACATTCTCATGATGATCTTAGATTCTCGTTACATTTCTTTGCCCCTACATGGGTTTTTTGAAAATATATGTCTAAGTATGCATCGTGTTAAGAAACGTACAGGTTGGCGAGCAGCTGTTAAACATGACACCCTCACATGTTCCTGAACGTACGACCTACAGCAATGTCTGGCGCGTTTCCGAACAATAATGGACACAAAGGGGAGCAGTTGATGCCTTTTCCATTGCTTGTATAATATGTGTAGGAGTACACAATTAATAAATGAGACGTTTCCTGGACAGGAATGTGTTTTTTTCGATTGTGGATAATACGTTTGGGAGAATTCCTTCATGTTCAAAGAAAAAAACAAGTAAGTTTGGAAATAGCCAGCTTATTAGTCATAAATGCTCATCTTTGTAATCTGACAGATTATATTGTGCCTTACTCTATTACTAGGTAATGAGTGAGTGAGTGAGTGAGTTAAAATTTAAAATTACATCGGCAATATATCAGCCAAATCGTGACTAAATGAAGATATAGTTTAATAATAATTAAAGGTAAATTATAAAAACCTGTCAACGAAGGACAGTAAAACAACTGGAAAATCACAGTTATAAATGTAAAACTAGTAATTAAATCTAAAACAGTTTAGCTCTCGAGGACAATACAATGTAAAACTAGGCTATAGATTGCCAACAACTGAAACTAGATCACCATACTAGGGACTAAGGGGACATTTTAAATTTTCCTGCAATCGCCAGCGGCTGAAGGGATGGTGTAAATCCAACTAGGGTCCATGCAGGTAGCAAAAGCACTATAAGTCCCCATGGTCCCTAGTATGGTGATCTACCTTCAGTTGTTGGCGACCTATAGCCCGTTTATATATTGTATTGTCTTCGTAATTAAAATAGTTTTACATGTTCATGCTAGTTTTAAACTCCATCTGTGATACTCTAGTTATTTTACAGTTCTTCGATGACTGATTATTTAGCAACTTCAATTTATTGTTTATGTAAAACATTTCTCGTCACTATATGGCTGAAATATTGCCGAGGTGACGTTACTCACTCACTACAGTACACCATCCCTTCAGCTGTTAGCAATTTTGGACAATCTAGCCATAAATTAAAATTATAGTAGTACATTTAAATTTACTTGAATTGTGTTGAGACTTACGTACCCTCTCAGGAGGACAATAATTTTACAGTACCTTAACCCCCTTCGATGATACAGCCACTAACATTACTAGGTAATGGGTTATACAAAATATATATCTTGTAGGTGAAATACAAGTAACGAGAGGAGCATCATATAGTCGGCATCATAAACTTGACACACTTCCCCTTGTGTTTATGGGCTGTTTCAACTTGATTATGTCAAAAATGATATGAATCATTGACAAGATGTCACTGCAACTTTGTAAACGCATCTACTTATATCCTACCATACGTACACACGAGTTTATGTTCCAATTACGTGTAGCCAGCATGGATCATAAGCCACAATCCGTTGTCAAGAAGCAGCATGGTACTGTCAAGGCAAACGTGATGAGGACTTGGCAGCTTCTGACAAACTGGAAAAAGCCAATAT